CATTTTATAAGTGATTTTTTTAATAGAATATTGTAAAAGTGATTTGTAGTAAAAGTTGATAGTGTTTGTAAGTAGAAGTGATTGTACTTAGAATGTAGAAGTTGAAGTGTTTGATAAAAAGTGATTTGTGATAAAATATTTTGTTAAATTACCAAAGCAACCTTGTAAAATTAAAAAGGGATAGCACATTAGGATCAGGAGCAAACCCAACCCATGCGGTGTCCTTTCTCTGCCGTAATTCGCCGATTGTGAAGATGCTCACCATGCCCATGTAATTAGAAAGCAGCCAAAATAGAAAGAAAAATCATATCCGAAAAGAAGATAAAACCCACACCCAACCCAAGCAAGAGCATAACAGTAGGAGCATAACGGAGCATATATATGTTTTGCTTTATTTGAAAAATTAAATGTGCATAAGATGAAGCTGTATTGTGCATTATGTGAATTTGAAATGTGCACTAGATGAAATTAAATGTGCAGAATAAAAGGTCTGATGTGATGTTATTTTTGTTCCTTTTATTCTGCCTATTTCAGTTTCACTCAATTCACATGTGAGTTTAATTTTTTTTTCTAATATATATAGGGGTGGGTTCAAATAAAAAACAGTCTTCCCATGAAAAGTGAGGACAAATCTTGGCCTTCCATCACTTGAAAATGGATGGATTAGATGAACTTTAAACACAAGAGACGATTTCAAAAAATGTGCAAACGTTTATACTTTAAAGTGAATAGTTACTAATTAAAAGTGCACTTATACGTGTCAAAAAAAATTGTCAAAATTTTCAAGGTAGTACACTTTTTATTTTGTACTGTATTGCACTTTTGTGCTCTACGTGTGCATTTTTTGACTATTCTGATTGACATTTGTCACGATAATTTCAATAAAAATTCTCCATAATTACAAAAACGCCACTGCGTTTCCAACTTAAAAATTGATCTCTTCCATCCATTTTTTCACATCAATGGCCAAGATTAGTTCTTATTTTTCATCTAGGAAGTACTTTTTATTTGAACCAAACTCTCTCTCTCTCTCTCTCTCTCTCTCTCTCTCTCTCTCTATATATATATATATATATATATATATATATATATATATATATATATATATATATATATATATATATATATATATATATATATATATATTCGAAGATGAAGATTGAAGAATCGAGAAAAGAGCTAAGCAGATGAGTTATTTACAAAAAACCTAGAAGCAGTTAAAAGCACCCATATCCTAGCTTCCTGCTTTTCACTTTAAAGTGCTTTTTAAAAGTAGAAGTAAGTGTTTGAAAATACTAATTTCAACTTTTTTTAAGTCAAAAGCTGAAAAGTGTTTTTTTTAATCAACTGCAAACACTCCCTTAGAAGTCCAAAAGTTCCCCTTTTAATTTTTTGGACTCCTAAAACCTCTCTACTCCAAAATTGTCTTAAGGGGGCCAACCCCCCAAGTTTATATTTTTTTTTTGTTTTTTTGTAAGAGGTAAAAGCACTACGTTTGAAGTTTAGGTTCTTTTTAGTAAAAAAAGAAACCAATTTCAACAAAGATCCTAAGGTTTTAATATGCAAATATTGAATAGTTTTGGGCAGGAAACCAATTTCAAACTTTCAGAACACACAAAAGGAAGAAAAAAAATTGTTACTACTATTATTATATTGTCAAGAGCTAGTGATATACATAGTATATCAATTTAGTACTAGCTAGGATTATAAAATTTAATGCCTTACCCCATACATATTTTAGAATCCACCTCATGAGAGATAGGCATGGACCAGTCCCAGGCCGGACTCCGGGCCGGTCCTGGGTTGGCTTTTTGGGTTTGGCTACGGGCCCGGAACCGGCCAGGATTCCACCGGGTCCGGGCTGGTTCAACTTTTTTTTTTTGCTTTTCTAATTAACCCCCGACCCCCCCAACCCCCCAAACACCCAGCCCAACCCAGGAAAAACAAAAAACATTGAAAAAAAGAGGCCCGAACCGGGCCGGTACCAAAGGATAGGGTAGCCCATAACCACGCCATCCAACCCCCTCGGGCCGGGCCTAGGCCCGGAACCGGGCCTGATTCACCGTGTCGGTTATACAAATAAATTAATAATTATATAAATCATTGTGGTTATTTTGTTATAGTGAATGCTCAATGATTATTATAAATGAATATTGGTATACCTTTTTCTACGTTATGTTTTTATATTCTTTTTGTCCCTTAATTATCTTTAAATTTTGCTTTTTTTTTCTGTTCCAAAATAATCATTTTCATTTTCGGTAAAAAATTTGTAGTTCATAATATTTCTTACATATTCTTACACATTTCTCTCTTTTATGCATAAGTTTTCACCACACAATATTCATTATATTAATCCCCACGTCAAATTTACTTTCGACGATAATTTAGGAACAAAGGAGGGAATATTTTATATTTTATGTACTCCGATTTGACTCCCCTGGCCTTATACTCAAGTCGGGCTCCACCCTTGACCACCACCACATTCTCTCTAGACTAGCTTCACCTTCATTAATGATTTCCAAATCTTGATAGTTGTGTAAAAAAAGTGATGAGATGATTAATAAAATAAGGATGATTTGGACATTAACTAGCCTGAAAAATTCCATGATTTTTCTCTATCGAATTTCCACGTATAAATTTAGTGTTCATACATATATATTTATATTTATTTATACTATTTTGTGTTAGATTAAACTCACACACTTTTTTTTATCCCTCTACACACACTAACAAGAATATAAGTGTGTGCATGGTATATGCAATTAAGCATGCAATTCCTCCGTCCCAAAAATGATTTCTTGATTTTAAACCCCTCCCCCCCCCCACACATATATATGCAAGATAAAATGGAAAAACTGTCAAATAGGTCCTCAAACTTTCATTAAAAAGTCAATTAAGTCCTTCTATAAGAGACTTTGTCCGGTCGTCGCGATTTGGGGCGGTTCCCGATGGAATTTTTTAATGAATTTTTTTGATCATCTTATTCCTCAAGTCTAGTTTACTCATACCAAATTTCAGCTAAAAATTGAATCGGGAGTGCATTCAAATTAATTCGAGAACGCAAAAATGCGCAGTTATCTTCAAGAATTAATTTGAATGTGTTCTCGATTGAATTATTAACTGAAATTTGGTATGAGTAAACTAGACTTGGTGAATAAGATGCTCAAAAAATTTCATCAAAAAATTCCACCGGGAACTGCCGCAAATCGTGACGGCCGGACAGAACCTCCTATAGAAGGACTTAATTGACCTTTTTATGAAAGTTCGAGGACCTATTTGACAGTTTTCCCAGATAAAATTTTACTTTAAACTTTTTATTGAACAATTATTTTATATCAAATTTATTAAAATTTAAAAAGAAAAAAAAAATTAGAGTAGTGATAGTCGCCAGGTTTAGTATTGATTTTTTTTATTTTTGGAAATGAATATTTCTAAAACACATCTAAAAAGGAAAAATAGGAAATCACATTTAGTAACTACCTAAATGAGAGCAAATATAAATAAAGTCGCAAGCATAAGAGTACAAATTTTAAATTCTCAAAATATGGGTAATTATTTTTATCCTAGCATTACAACGTTTTAGTAGGATATTTATATTAATTATAATACAATATAGAAAAAATAAAAATAAAAAGGGTAAATAAAATATGTTAAACTTAGCCATCTTCCAGCAAATATATCCACAGATCGGAGAGTCGAGCAAAATTTGACATTTTTTCTCGTATGATGTGGCGATAGTCATAGGCATGCAATTGGACTGGACCCGGTCGAACCGGCCCGGCATCTAACCCGGACCACCACTGTGTGGTACCGGCCCGAACTAGGGGTTTTGGGACAGGCTACAGGTCTGCTATTCGGTGGACCGGCCTGGCCATTCCGGGACCGATCCGAGCCCAAAATGTTTTTTTTGAAAGGATTTGGTGTTAGGCAATAGGCATGTGGGGCTCGGTGGTTTGGTGGGTTTGGGGGGTGGGGAGGTAGGAATAAATAAGTAAAACTAAAATTTAAAAAAAAAAATCCGACACCCAACCCGGGCCTGGTCCCGAAACACACCCGGGCCGGTACCAGGCCTCTAGTTCGCAAACCCAGTCTCGACCAAAGCCCAATCAGGAGCCGGGCCCAGTCCATCCCTAGCGATAGAGGCCTCTGTATATTTTTAAACGTAATATGTTTATTTATTTTAAATGGTTTTTGACTTTTATTTTATTTAATTCTTTACTACGAGTATATTTTACTTCGTATTTCTTTCAAGTTTATATTCTAGAATCATACGGGGTAATTTTTATTTTTATTATTTTATTATAAATAAAAAATAATACATAGTACGTATGATCTTGTTTTTAGTAGAATACAAGTTCAATTGGGGACTATAGAAAATAGTTGGAATAGAAAAGAGAGAGCATAAAGTAGTTTTTAATTGTTTTGAAAAAAAGATGCAATATTGAGAGTAAAAATATCACCTTGGATTTCTTAGATAAAATGAGATTGTTATGATAAATTGATAATCTTATATTTTAATACTTTTAACTCACGTATATTATCAGATTCTTGCTCATAAAACATTCCCAACGCTTTGGAGTTATTGGCTCGTCCGACCCGGAGTTGGAAGAAAAAGGAGCGGTCTATCTATAAAAATTAAAAAGCAAGTCCCTCTAATTCAATTGAATCAAATGTACACACATCATTCTTAGTGAGCAATTCGGCATTTAGGACTTGGAGCAAGAAATACTTGTTGAAACTATACAAATTGCAGTACCTGCAGATTTATCATTTATCAACTGAAACTCTCAAAGACACATACTCGTACATTATATATAGGACTCATAAATTGCACAACAAATAATGAATTCCCCTATATTCCATATGTTATTCAGCTCGACCATTCATTAATGTGTAAGCACTTTGAGGTTAATGGTGAAACCAATAACCATGTTTTATAAACTAACTAATCTAAATAAATGATCAAGTAAATGATAATTTTACATGTAAATAATGCAGTGGGAAAGTATGATATGGATTATGGAGTAACTATTATTATACCACTCTATACATTTAATTACAGACGAGTGGTATCAGGTTTGATAGAAACCATGCAAAATCGCAAGAAAAAATTCAAAGCCCTAATATCCATGTTTGTTGAGTAAATTAAGAAGAAAAAAAAACATAAGGCCGATCCAAATTCAAGAAACAGTTAAGAGGATATAGCTAGTGATTTATATAGCATCAGACACCATAAAAAAAACTAGGAGGTTCAATACAGTATTAATTTTTGCAGAAAGCTACTATTCAAAAGTTTACTCTACTGCAGAAAATTGTTCGATGGGTGCCCGCAAAAAGGTCCGACGGCGGAATTACACGGCGGCGGAGGATGATCCGCCGCCGAACTACGCTTACCCGATGCTGCTCCCGCCGGCCGCTTCCGTTTCTTCTCGTAGCTGACCCCTCTAGACTTGGACTGAAAATCCCGGACGTCCCGGAGGAAGAGCCGCACGGCCCTTGCGCCAAAGGGGTTCGACTCCGGCTTGCCGCCGTGCTCCTCATAGGCGGCGCGTAGACGGCCGATTAGCGCGTCGAGGCTCCCCCAAGCTTGCCGGAGCGGGCAGGGGCAAGGCGCAGGAGGGTTGGGCATCCCGAAGAAGGGGCAGTTGTGGTTGTGAACCTTAGTCTTCCCGAACTGGTCGAGGTAGCGGAGGAACTCGAGGACGTGGGCCCCGCTGCAGAGAGGGAGAGCCAGCGGCGGGCGGTGGTTGCGGAGGTACTGGCAGAAGGTGTTCCAGTCGCGGCGCTTCTGGTTCTCGTACCGGCTGAGCTGAGGCGGCGCCGGCTGAGAGGGGTCGAGGACGGCGGAGGAAGAGGATGAGGTCGTCAGGGAACCGGCCGGGCCGGTCTGGGTGATGATCCCGGAATCAAGATTATGGTGAAGTGGAGCAATGAAATCCATGGGTGGGTATTTTAGTAGGTAACCAAAAAAAAAAAGAAAAATCAATGTTCCACAAACAGCAGCTAGTTACGTAGGTGGGAGTTCTTTTCTTGTTTGTTGTTTGGCCTTTTTTGTCAAGTGATATGGAATATACAGTAGGTTTTTATATATAAATTTGGATAATATAAGGTGAATTAAGTTTTCAGGTCTCTCTGATCTGGTTAGAGGAACAAGATAGTTGGGCTGGGTAGGGGTAAATATGTACCAGGTAGCTAGATAGCTATCTATGTATGTAGCAGAGCTTTTTCACTGCAAATCATCTGAAGACCTTTCATTTCAAAGAAAACTCAAAATCTGCGGTACCTGAGTGATAATCTGATATCTCCAGGATCTGGAGATGGAACAGCCCAAAAAGCTCAGTAAACTTGGGGTGATGATCCTATCGGAAATGAGCTGAGTAACACATAAAATGATCGGAGTATTAATTACAGTAAGGAAGAGGGAGGGTTTGTGGGGAGAGAGTTCTTGGCTGGGCAAGAAAGACAAAGTGGAAAGAGAGGGGAGTGGTATTGGACATTAATGTGAAGTGATTGGAGGTAGAAAACCATCAGCTGATCGATAGATATGCCCACTCAATTTACCGACTACTACTTTAATGCTAAGATACTCATGTCCCTATTTGTTTTTTTGTTACCGATTTTAGTCTAAACACCAAGGAATAGTCATCTAACCATTTGGGTACCCCTTATCACCAAAAAAAAAAAACATTTGGGTACCCCCGGAAATGGTAAAAAAGATTCAAGGGAAAAAATGTAGGATCCCCATAATTGGCCTGACCCAAATTAAGAATTTTGACGAGAGAGTGTTAGTAAAAATTTGAGTAAACGGTTAGTTTAGTCCTTGAAGTTGCATAAAAGAGGTCAAATAAGTCCTTATATAGGAGGTTCTATTCGGTCATCGCCATTTGGGGCGGTTCCCGGTCAAATGATTTCTTGAAGATAATTGTGCAGTTAAAAACGCACAATTAAAAAGAAATGTTTTTCAATTTCTGGCTTATATCAGATGTGATGCGTTTTTCATTCTTTTATTACAAAAAAATACATATTTTAGTAAACACAAATTTTTTCTTTTTTTTTTTACAGGAAAAGGCTCATATTAATCTATGTTGTAAGACCCGAACCGGAACGGCCGGTTCGACCCGGAAACCGGTCACCCGGCCTTATATCCGGTCCGGTTGAGCACCAACCCGTAAATCAGCCCAAAACCGGAATTACCCATCTACCCGCTGAAACCCGGGACGGACCCGACTCGTCCCAAACCCAGAAAATGCCTAAAACCCGAAAAAATGGTCGCCAGGAGAAATTGAACCCGCGCCTAATGCTTCAAACACGGATCTGCTGACCAGCGAGCTACACTAGCTTGTTAATATTTACAGTGCATTAGCTATCCTTATAACTTATCAGTCTGGAATATTTTAATTAGTCTTAATTAATTAATTAACTAATAATACAAATACTACTAAATACATACCAATGCTGCTATGTGCTATTATTCTTCTGGTACATAATCTCCAACTTTGTTGTGTTGTATTTTATTTTGTTAATTGGTATTATGTTCATATTTATTACCCATCTAAATCCCCAAGTATTTTATATATTTTTTTTAAATCAATACACTTAAATACATTAGTTTTTAAGTGTAGGAATAAAGTATTATGTTCATAATAGTTTTTCTACATTGCTTATATTTTATTATCATTATTAAATTATGTAGGAATATAATTTTTCTATTGATGAATTCAATCTATATATAATTAATTAATTATGTGTATAATCGTTGACCGGGTTTAACGGTCGACCCGCCGGGTCCGGGTTGACCCGTGATCCGATCATCTGTCTGGGTCACTCTCCCGTCCGGTTCTTACAACGTAGATATTAATATGAAATAATCCCAACAATCACTAATGTCACGCCCGGACCTACCGGACACGTCAACAACCCGCCGTACAGTACGAATAGTCAACCACAGTCCAACTCATCCATACTATACTAGGCGTCTTGAATACCATTCACACATAGTACATCCATAAACAAACATAATGTAAAATATTCATTTAAAGTAGCGGAAACATTTAATACAAGTGTTCAAGCCACACTTGGCAAACATGGGCATACAAGCCCCCAAATAATTATTCAGAAAATATTATCCATGAGCATTCATATAATTGTTTTTTAAAACAGAAATGGAAGAAGCACGAACCCCGTCTTCTCTCCTTGATTCTCCCGAAGCAACAGGCGATGGTAGCAACCTTCAAGTTCTACCTGAAACTGTGAGGTGGCTTCCCCCGTGAAGGGGAGGTCAGTACTTGGAAGCATTTGACAAGTACAATGACAACTATACTAAGTATAATCAATATTTCAATTTCTAAGACCTTCAAATAAAATGTTATTATATTATAGGTCGTAACCCTTAGTTACCCTCCTTAAAATATATACTTACTTTATATATAAAGTCAAGTAGTCGGCCCGTAGGCCCTTGTTCATTTGAAAACACTCCCTTAGTCCCCGTAGCCGTTAGTCACGGGACTCCTAGTATTCAACGTGTTGTAATTGCATAGCAAGGTCTCAGCCCAACTACATTTCTATGCAATCCTTTAACCCGAATCTAACATATTATAATTGCATAGTAAGGGCTCGGGCCAACTACATTTCTATGCAATCCTTTTTACATGGCAAGGGCTCGGCCCAACTACGTTTCCATGTAAATCCTAATTTCATGGCAAGGGCTCGGCCCAACTAAATTTCCATATACATCTTAATTTCATGGCAAGGGCACGACCCAACTATATTTCCATGTACATCTTACTTTCATGGCAAGGGCTCGGCCCAACTATATTTCCATGTACATCTTAATCACATGGCAAGGGCTCGGCCCAACTATATTTCCATGTTATCCTAGAGTCCGACTCTAATTCAACGTCATGTTCCAATCCATGAACATTATCTTACGCCTAGGATTTATTCATTTCGAGTAGCCTTTTAGGCCTACCCCAAATGTCACCTAGAGTTCATACAACTCTATCTCGTCAATCAAGTCACCTTAAAGCATCTCTTAAGACTACTTAAGGTCATATCACAATTCAACATTTAGATCAATCCTAGCTTAATCTTACAATAATTTCCTGACTAGTATCTTAATACTAGTCGGACTAACCTTAGAACCACCACGTCCTCAAACTGGTAGTCATTTAGTTCATTTCAATTGAACTTTCAATTCAAATATAATTTAATCTCAAAATCAAAAATATCACTTTTATCCATTCATGATTTCTATACATGAAGTAAAAGTATATTTTATCACCCAAAAATTCATGGTTGATACAACCATCATGTCATCATGTTTATAATACATAAACATACATCATTTACTCATAAATTTGTATATCATGCATCTTCTATTCATTGACAATAATATTTTCATCTAGGCATTATTGATCATCAATAATCCATGAAAATCACTTTTAATTACTTTAGGTAATCTTATGAAATTAACCCGAAGATTATAAGCAATATAGCCAGCCATCCTCACCTTATGAAGTGCTGCAATAGTTGCCTTTGTTAAGCCCTTTGATTAATCCCCGTTCCAAACCGATTAGAAGTGAAAAATCTGGACAGCAGACGAAAGCCGGACGGCTTTTGCAAAAGGTGGGCGGCTTTCGTGGTCTGCAGCTACGAACAGCCTTCTATTCTTGGCGGTTTCCGGCGATTTCGACTCCTATCGATTCACCAACTCTTCTTAGTTAATTACCACCACTTTATATCAATATTCTACACTTTTAAACGTGTAGAAACTCATGTTTAATCCACCATATGATTTCTTTAAAATCATACAAAAATGTTGGTCCCAGTTCAGCAGACTAACGATCAGCTAGATGAGCATCATCGATAGACAGAAGAGAAAGATTTCATATAATGATATAAGCTTTATCGAGAACAGTGAAACCTTCTTTCTGTAGTATCGAGAAGTAAATTTGGCAGCGTAAGGCTAATGTGTATTGATCGATATCGGTACCTGTACACAAGGCGCATATTTATAGGCGCTGTACAGGTTACCGATTTAGGTAAACCTTGGAAGTTGGGCCAAGGCCTTTTTGGGTCTTATTCCCTTTACCTTATTTGCTACATAATAAATACTAATCTAATACCATAAATGGTATAACTAGTCTACTTTATTTAAACAAGACATTACAGACAAACTTGACCCACAATAAAAGTTCTAACAATCTCCCCCTTTGTGGTCAAGTGCCGTCTTGCTGGGTTTCTTCACTTCTGAGCTTTGTAATAGTTCTTTCTGAGATTAAGTGCGTGCTCATAGTTTCTGAGTGAGTTTCTTCTATCAAGTTGCTTTTCAATGGCTTGTAGAATATTGTTAATTCTGTGCAGTTCCTTCTGGTCTCCTTCAGTGGCTTCAGTCGATTTCTGTCCAAGTTCTTGTTTCTTTGATCGGAGCTGCTCCTGGATGATCTTCAACGTTCCGTCACAATACTTGTTAATTTCATCCACGAACATTAGACGTTTTTCGTTGTTATGATTCAGATAGATGACTGATACTGGATTGTCAAAAATATGATATGCTTCAAAGGATTCAAGGCCAGGTCTACTCAAGTCCGGTCTAGTAAGATTCACCTTTGAATAGTTGTGCTCTATGGTCATCTGGAGGTCATGAGAAGCGTAGAACCGAACTTGTCTTGTCATGAATCTTTTTATCGCCTCGAAGCCTTCTTTAGCGAGTCTGTCTTTGTGAACTGGAAGCTCCCTGCACCTCATGAACATTTGATAAATGTCATCCATGTGCAGTAGAAAGAAGTCATTCTCTTGACAGGTGAACTCCGAGCCATCAGTACGTTGTAGACGAAAAATCATGAACTTAATTGTCTCCAGGTGATCTTCTGTAATCTCCAAGATTTTCAATATGGGACATCCACTTGTTGCAAGGTTGTGATTTAGAACTTGTCGACGTTGCCCTGTGGATCTATGTCCTAGCATATACAGATTTCCTCCTCTATCTTTTCCTTTCAAGTGATTGATTCCTCGCATTTTTAATTCACTGAACTGCTTGACTTTTTCTGGTTGTCTCCAAATCTTCTCTCGAATTTCTTCAAGAAAGGGGGCTTTGATCCTTATGATTTCCCATTTTTCTTTAGCTGGTTCTGGTTCCTTGAGGTTTTCTTTTTTATTCTCCCCTTCCTTGAGTTCGTCTTTATCGAGTCCAATCATCATTGCATGGTATTTATTGAGGAACTCTCTGAGATGCCAGCTTCGACACATTTCGTACTGATCGGCTTCCACTCTAAGGTCATCCCACTCTGTCCATTTAGGAGGCCATTGATCATGAACTAGAAGATCTTCAAGCTCATCTTGTATTGGATTGTCAGAGGGTTCAGAGGGAGCTTGCTGCTGTGTCGAAGGTGACTCATCGTGTGAAACACCGGGATCCTCAGGATTGCCCGTTGACATCAGTTTCGAACTAGGTTCTAGCTGATGGCCTGAGTAAGAAGATGTACTCGTGGTAGCATCATCAGGACTTCCATTCCGTCCTTGGTTAACATCTATAGGAGATGCACCTCGGGATG